CATAAGAGGAGTTGACGTCCGAGAGTGAAGTTCATGAAATACGTCACGCATTGAACATTTTTTACCAAAAACTGTATAGAGAGGAACTACGATTAGCTTATACACATATGTACATAGTATGTAAGTCATATTTTTGCAACGCTTGAGTCACACATGTCGCATATGTACTCGCATAAATTTTGATTTAATTTAGCATGTGTGCAAAAACGTGGGTGTCCAGTGGAAAAAACCAACAAATCTTTATACGAATACTTGTTTTTTTTTTTGTTTTACTATTCGAAGATGTTGCCATAAATTATTTTGCGTAGTCGAAAGATGCCAACCAGCCGCTTTGTCTGACATAGTACATCATTGTTGTTGTTAAATGTTTTATAGTTATTGTCATATTGCCATTTAAGTGATTACCGCTTCCGCTAAGCACATGTGCGCCATACAAACACTTAAAAACACATGTTTGTATGTGAGAAAAAAAATGCAAACAGCCACACACAACAAATACTAGAAATGTGCAGATGTTCGTTTGTTGGTAGTTGGTTACCTGCTTCTGCATTGAATAGCAAAATTAGGCGTATTAGAAGATGAGGAGTGTTTGAGAAAAGAACTAGAAATCAAAATTTTATTTGTAGTTTTACTTTCGATGCGACCGGTTGGCTGTTGGTGGAGTCAGTGTGAAGGAGGAGCGCAAGAAATGTTGCAGAATTTAACAAAATGATTATTAAAGTAAAATGACAAATTGTGATTTGAAAAGTTGGTAAAACAAAAAAAAGGTTATCTACAAAAAAACAAGAAAATGAAAATTTATTTTTTAAATTATTAAAAAAAAAAATTCTCATTTATTTTAAACGAGTATTAGTTAAATGATGACATATGTATGCACATCTATCTAGTTTTTTTCTTTTGTTTACAATACACATATCAACACAAGTAAAAACAATTGCAAGTGAAAATAATTAAATCCCCGCCAGCCACGCGCCAAATCGCCTTTGCCAGTTCAATGCCATTGACGTCAATTCGTTCGTTTGCCAAAAGCAAATTGTTTCTAAACAATTGAATATTTGCAGAAAATCGTGTCTTTTTTATTATTTACTTGTGTGAAATTCAAAAAAAAAAACACAAAATAAAAGACAATAAATAATACATAATGTTTTCAACAAATTTCGTTAATTGTGAAAATTGAAGTGCATTCCTAAGGAAATAAGCAAAAAATCGAAGACAAGAAAATAAAAATATGGTACAAAAGTAATCGCGAAAAATTTGTGCATACATTTTTCAAAGGATTAAAAGTTAATGTTGAATTTTTATGGTACCTACAAGTACCAAGGAATAATTTTCTTGCTTAAATCTAAATAAAGAACCATGGCGCCAAATATTTTTATCAATCGTTTACTAACGGTGAGTGTAAAGATAAAGTAAGCTGATAATTTTTTTCTTTGTTTTTTGAATGCTTATTTTATGTCGTTTTGTGTGTGCTTTGTAGAAACTATTAAAATTAAAGACCATAGCGAATATGTATTTTATAATAAAATAAATATTTTGTTTGTGTTATTTATGGCCTTATAACACTTATATTCAACAATTTGTATTGAGCTTGAGGCCGTTTTTAATGTTTAATGTTAGTTTTTCATTAAAAACGGCCTCAAGCTCAATAAAAATTGTTGAAAATAAAATAGATTTTATTTTTTTAAATTATTTTAGCAAGAAACACGAATTTTTGTTTGCTACTTTTTTAGTTTAACTTAGCCTGCTATTTATTGAGCTGAAAGAAATCGTTAATCCAGCCCTTAAGAAAACACAATTCTTTTATGAAAAACAGCTCAAATTTTTTTTTTTTCAAAATTTTCGTAAATCAGTAGCAGTTCTCAAAAGATTTCTTACATCGTCTGTTAAATTTTTCTAAAGGTTTTTTCTGCTTTTCCCTGCTGCATTTTCAAGCGAAAGAAAGAATTAAACATTTTTCTTGTGGGCTGGAGAATGAATTAATAAAAAGCAAGGCTAAGATTTAAGTAGACTTTTAAACCTGATAGCTTCCAAAAAATTTCAAAACGTTCTGATGAATCCCATGAAAGTCCAAAAACCACGGGAAGTCGTGGAAAAAGTTAAGATGTACATACTTCTTGTTTTGAGTTTCCAAAATATATCGAAAGACCCCAAAAATCCGGACAATATCACGAAAATCTCCCAAAAAAACCGAAACTTTTTATATCATTTTTTTCAATTTCATTTATTTTTATTTTTAAATCTTATTGATGTAACAAATTACATTTTTTAGTTTCATTTAATTCTTAGAAACATATATTTTTTGCTTACTTTTCCAATAAACTTTTTGCTTTTTAATTTAACTTTTAGATTTTATTGTTTTAAATTTAGTTGCTAAAAATAATTGAACTTTCTTAATTATCTATTTTTTTTTAATTTTAGTGTTTTATAATTTTAGGATCTATTATTTAAAAAACAAAAATATTTTTTTTTAATTAGCAACTTTATTTTCTTAGCTATTAAAGAGAAATATATTTTTTATATCATTTAATTTTTAGAAACTTGTATTATTAATGTTTTCTTTTTAAATTTTTGCTCTCTTTAATTTAACTTTATTTTAATTTTTAAATTTTATTGTTATAAATTTAATGTTTATGTTTTATATTATATTTTATTTTATTTTTTATATTTTTTAGGTTTTATTTTTTACTTAATTTGGAATTCAGCAACTTTACTTTCTTTATTATTACGTTTTTAATCAAATTTTCTTCTAAATTTCAGTTTTTACTGTTTAAAAAAGTAAGACATTTTTCTAAATCTAATTTTACTTTCAGGTACTTATTGTTAAAAGACAAACAGAATAATGATAAGAGTTCGTTAGCAGATTTTTTAGTTAGTCTTTCGAAAGACAGAAAAGAATTGAATACAGTAGAACTGTATTGTGTTGAAAAACAGTTTCCGGAGTTGCCAAGTAAGACTTTTCAAAAGCAAAAAAACCAATGGCTTATTTAGTATGTAAGCAAATAAAGCTTATGTGACACTTTATTAAATGCTCTAAATAAATTTTGCAAAATTCCAAACAGTTGGTGTACATAATTGTCGTCAAATTTAACCTTAGTAATACCATTTATAAATGTTTAGTAGAAAGGCATGGCAACAATGCTGGCAAAAAAAAAGATTAAAGTGTCACCATCATTATTCATACGTACTCACTTATGTATATATGTATGTATTTAGCACATCTACTCAATTTGGTCACAATTGTTTGCGCGCATTTGGGCCGCATTATTTTTGGTAGGCTATACGAATACTTAATATACAAATTTGGCAGCATCATTTATTTTATCAAACAACAATGAATGAGCGGCATAAAAAACAACAAAAAACAATACACAGCTTCGGTACTTAAAGGAGCAATTCGTGCAAAATCAGTGTGGCAGCTGTGCCCCAGTGGGGGTTGCTGTGTCAAGTGAAATGATTTACCACGGGAAACAACAGGAACTGAAGGATTTGTTAGCCACATTTTCACTTAAATGTTGCCTATAATATATGGACATGAATACTTACTTATACAAGTACAAACCTATTTTCCTTTTTCCATTTTTAATTGTGAAAATATTGTATGGTGTTTTCTATTTCACGGTGTTGATAAATTGTTATACACTCTGTTATATACTTATAGTACTATGTATGTATGTACGTATACATGTGTGTTTGTATGTACGATGTGTAGATAATATATGTAAATTGATGACGGAGCAAACTCAAGTGAATGCCGGAATGAATTTTTAATGCAAGGGCCATTTTTTCGTTAATTTTCGCGACGAATCTAACAAAGAATATACGTTTTAAAAAACAATTGTTTTTCCTTAAGAGCCGTTAAATACAAATTTTGTTAAAAAAAAAAGATTTTGACTGGCAGATAAATTTGAAAAACTTCTGGAGAAAATGCTCTAAGCATAAGAAATCGTTCTGAGCGCATAGAGTGGCTTCGAAAACCTTGAACCGGCATTCAAAATAGCAAATTAACGAATTATATATACAAAACCTATTGGGCTTCAAGAAAAATCAGCACGTCTAATTACAATATCCTCTACCAGCCACCTTTCACATAGACTAAGCACTCGAAAACAAATTTTCAAGCCAAGAAGTTTTTATCTCTTTTAACATCAAGAAATAAAGATATTTAGAGAACAAAATATTGCTTTGAAAAATACCGTTTGGTAATTAAAATTAAAAAAAATGTTCTGGGGAAAAAGTAGTTTTTTAGAAAAATTATTTTAGAGAAGATCCTAATATTTGTACAAAAAATTATGTAGAAAAATAAATAAAAAATAAAAAAGATATTTAAAAAATAGCCAAAATTGTGACCATACATAAGAAAGAATAGTTTTTTTGGAAAACATATCTTTTTAGGAAAAAAGTATTTTTTTAAGGAGAAAATATTTGTTTTTAAAATGCGCCTGGTATTTATATCATGAAATTTTTGTAAAAAATATATTTATATCAAAATAAAAAAAATCAAACCAAGGTTTTTCTATTTTTATTTAAAAAAAATTTGTTGGCGAAATTAACATAAGTTACAACAAAACTCCTTTTACCCAAAAATTATTGCGGTAAAATTTAATTCTTCAGAGAATATAGAATTAAAAAAATATTTTAAAATCATCTTAGGGAAAACATCGTATGTATGTAGGAAAAATAATTTTTAGGAAGGTCATATCTGCCCATATGGTCATATTTAAAAAAAAAAATGTTTTTTGAAAACTCATTTTTTTTGAGCAAACCATTATTTATTTTAAGGAAAAAAACTTTTGTAAAAAATCATAAAGAAATACTGCATATTTTATTTCTTAAAAATCCTACCTATTTTAACAATACATATAGCCGTCCTTTTTTATTTCGTATTAATTTGTATAATGCAATTGCTGCAATTTCACTTAAAATGCATACAAACCATTCGCATTGCACTGCATACCCACCTTCAATTCATTAACCGCCTTTTTTTTCTTTTCTCGTTGCAGCAATCTCTGCTTGCCGGTCGCATACCAGTCACCTCAATGACAGGTCCAATTAAACGTGGCCTGCTGTGGCAGCAACGTGACCGCCTTTTTTCACGCTGGAAGGAAAGGTAAGTGAGCAATAACAATAAAACTAGAACGAATTAAATGCGTCAACCGACTGAATGCCGCCAAAAAATAGCAGAATCAGTAAAATAGGGATGCATCAGCAAAAAGAAAAAAAATTAAAATGCATAAAAAATTTTGTAGGTACGTGAGATAAAGCGGCACAAAACGAATTGTCGAATAATTAATTTAAAACCTGCATGTTTTTTGAAAGTCCGCTTTAATTGTTGGCCGTGGATTATTAAGAAAATAAAAAATGGGAAAACTCAGCCTGGACACAGTGCCGAGTTCGAGAGGTGGTAGGCAATAAATAAGTATTTCTGTATATTTTTGGATGATTATGTTGAGATTGGTTGGAATGGCCAGAGAGTACACCTCTCAGTACTTTTATTCCCTTTTGCTACCATATGTATGTTGTCAGCTCCTTGCGATCACTCAGATAATTCTTCGTCCACTGTTTTGGTTGCTGAGGAAGAGACGAGGTGTCAATCTCTTCTATGTTCGTCTACTAGGACGATGCCAGAGATGCTTACGGGTAAGTCCAAGAGTTAGCTTAGTGTTTAGGCCGTTATTCGTGCAGTGGTAGCGTGTTCCATTCTGTTGCATCACTGGTGTCGAGTTGCATGTGTAGTACGGAAATAGCGACGCCTTAGGAATCTTCACTACTGTCTGGCGACAAGACTCTTTCTTGTTAGCAGGTTTCCCGGCTTAAGTATTGGGAATGAAAATAGTAGTCATCAACAAATTGAAGAATCCATTGGGGCGTATATACTATAGATGACCACCTGAACTTCGTCGCTTGTTAAAGTAAGAGGCGAAGAAATGTTTGCCAATTTACACAGCATTCTGAGACTTATCCACCGAAATCTGTCATCTCTTCCTTTTGTTTCCTTTGATCCCCAGGAGTGCATAGGGCATTTCTGAGCCTACGCGTTAACTGGTTCTGCTTCTAGCAATCGTTTTGATCTTATTGCAGCTTAACCCGAGTTGCTTCATTCGTCGATCGACTGTCACGTTTCGCGGGGTTTGCTGGGAGGCGTGCCTCTGCCAATAAGGGCATTTCCATTCTATGAATTTCTTGGCAATACTACAGTCGTCTATGCACAAAATGCGGCCTATCCACTTCTATATCTGCTCTGAATCCAGATGCCAGGGTCTCTATGCTAGCTGAGCAACTCGTGTTTTATTTTAAAACTTCTGTTTACGAAAACCTGCAGGCGTCTATTTATTGTAGTTGTGACTTTCCGTTGGATCCAGAAAGTTTCGAGGACACATTGGATTTGAAAAGCCGAATCCTTCAGCTGGAACTCAGACTTTTTCCTCGTCATGCCCGAGACACATTAATTGTTAGGTGGCAAAAAATTTAGTCACGGGGCAGAACGCTTACCTCGCCCACCTATTCTGGTAGTGGAGCAACCAACTAAAGAATCCAGGAACCCTACTGATGGCCCTAAGCGGGATGAGAACTACAGCCGGGGGCTCATGGAGGATTCATCTATCAAAAGCCTCCCGGCTTGAGAGCTCCTAGCAAGCCCCGCCGTGGGGGTCACGAGAAACCCGATAATTAGGTCACGTATCGTGCTCCTCCTCATAGGCTACTTCTTCTGGCAGCTACACGCTGCTTCTCCGCTTTCGCAGTATACAATATCGTTCACCTTCTGAAGCATTGACCAGTCTATACCCATACTATGTACGTAAGTGCTATAAAGAGGCTGAGCATATCATTTTACACTTTAATGTGCAATGTGTTATGCTTCAGGCCCGACGAGACAGCATTACCAAACGAAATTTTTTATCGCTGCATTCCCGCCCTGTCGGGTTGAACAGGCACCTTCTTTCCACTTTTCCGCTTATATTGATTGACCTTGTACTCACAGTCGCTACAACCGGGAAACTGGAGTGGATTTTCCCCACGCATCCGAATGGTATGAAGCGACCTCCTGCAGCAGTGGCCAACCTGAGGAATTAACATTCGCAACGTGAATTTCATTTGGCGTGGAAAGTGTGGCAGAGATTCTCTTGGTGGTCTGATACTAACGACAGTATAGGTCGTCAATGTTATGCTATTTGTTAGATCTGCGTTAGCTATTGTAAAGGGTAAACTCGGTTGAGCTTTAGAGGCGTCCTGGTTACAAAAAGAGGATACCGGTGTGGCACGCGAGATGTTGTCAGTCGTGGAACAGCAAGTGTTTGACCCAAAATCAGAGCAGGTTCTTAACCTTACCGAAAGGGAATTCGACACTATCTCTGGTGTACACGGCAACACAGTAGCAATAGGTTTCGGATCTGAGATACATGATGCGGCGTGTTAATGAACAGCGATTTGAAATGATCCCCTATGCCTTTGGTCCTTGGTGGACTTAAATTAAAGCCATTTTAGTAAGTTGCATGGACTGTCGTGAGGATGATACCTGGGTTCTACCGAGTGGTATTAAGACCTCTATCCATTTGCTACGGTGCCGACTTCCAAACCATTTCCAGAGTGATTAGGTACAGCTGCTGTTAATATTTTCTCCATCATAAGAAAAAAATAGTACGATAGGTAGTCTCCCGGACTGAAACCAAATTTAATATAAATTATCTAATTCAGATGGAACATTATTTTACCCATCGTTGCGTAAAAGCCACTTCTTACGAATTCTCTTTTTTAATTTAAAATCTACTAAATCTTCGACTTTTGTTACTATTTTTCGATATTGTTATAGTTATGGGTGTGTTCAGAAATGCATCAAACCAAAGCATCAGACGCTTTTATTTCTAAACTATAATTGATGGAAATGTCCAATATGCGCAACGCCGGTTAAATGCCTAATTGGAACGTAATTGCGTAAATAAGGCTTTCCATTAGTTGATGCATTGCTTGATGCATTTCTGAACGCACCCTATGTCCATTCATTGACTAAATAACTTCTTATTTTTATTTTTTCAGGTACTTCGTATTAACACGCGATTATCTGCATTGTTTCAAGAGAGCATCTGGTTCAGCTAACGAACGTGCCTCCGATATGGGGCAATTTATATTTAAGGTAAGTTTTGGAGAACTTCTTAATAAATTTTGTAGTTTAAATTAAGGCGCACCCTTTCATGCAACCAAATCTTTGGGCCATAAAAAACAAAACCACAAAACACATTTAAAATACCTATTTTTAGCAATTTAATATTTTCTGAAACTTAAATAAAAATTTCGGAATTATTTGCAAACTGGAGATGAATTTTCTTATAAAAAAATAATAACCAAAAAAAGTCGAAATTTTCGCATTGAAATTATTTCTGATTAAAAGTTTTCGGGTCTAAAATTACGGCACTAAATTTTGTCGGTACTTAAATTTTTTGCGATTAAAATTTAGCTGGGTTGAAAATTTTCAGCATCGAAATTTTTTGCGACCAAAAATTTTTAGACACTAAAATTTTGCGGGATAAAAATTTTTCGGCCTTCCAATTTGTTAAGATTTTGGGATGGAAATTTTTCGGTACTAAAACTTTGTGCGATTAAAATTTTTCAGATTGAAATTTTTCAGTACTGCCATATTACGGCATTTATATATTTCGTATTGCTCAAGAAAAATAAAGTATCTTTATGCAAAAAGAAAAAAAAAAAAAACATAAAAAAAAACGTTTAAAAGCTGCAAATTAATTTTTAATGCGAATTGATAGGTTTCTAAAACTTCATTAGACATTTCGGGACTCAATGCGAATTGGGACTGAAGTTTTTAGGATTTTATTTATTCTGGGGCGAAGTTTTTCGGCACATGTCGGCATTGGAATATTTCGGGACTAAAATTTATTGTGACAAATTTTTGTTGGCGTTTGAAATTTTTCTGGATTGAAGATTTTTTTTACAAAAATTTTGCAGGACTAAAATTTTTCGGCATTGAAATTTTTGCGGATAAAATTTTCAGGTCTAACTGAAGAGATTAATTTTTTTAGGATTAAAATTTTTCGATACAGAAATTACTAGGTACTAAGATTTTGCGAGACTAAGCTTTTTCAATACTGAACTTAAATGGGATTTTCAAATGTCGTATTTCACAATGGAAGCCAAGAAAAATTAATATAATTCGGAATCTACAATTTCACGGAGCTCGAAAAAAAACAAAAACCAAAAAAAATGAAGATAATAAAACGAAAACAAGCATTTTAAAACTGATAGCTATTTTTAAATTAGCATTAAGATGTTTTGAAAACTACATTCAACATT